CCTGTTTTTATTTCCCTGTTCCTTGGTTCTCAAATGAGATTTATTGAGTCCCTTTTGGCTCCTGCCTAGACCTGCTTCTCTCCCCCCCTTCTTCTTCTTTTTTTTTTTTAAAGAAATAAAGTAAAATAAATCGAACTCACTGAGGAATCAGTAGCAGTGAGAATTTCTTAAACTCCCTGGGTTTATTATGACACAAGGAGAGCTGTAAAAGGGGGAAAGTGGTTATTAAGACTGGGATTTTTCGAGGCTCAAAGTATTCAGGTGTTCAGCAACCTGCCCATGTCAAGGATTTAATGTTTGAAAGAAGGACTGGGGGTGGAGAGAAGGAGGTCAACAGTTTGACCTGAGAGGGCATTGCCACGGAGAGAGAAAGAGAAATCATGGGTTTTAAAATCTATTTTTATAAAACAACAACAACAGTGTATACTGCCATTCACACAGGCATCCAGGTGGTGTACAATATAATAATTATTAGGATCAGTATTGCAGTCATACCTTGGATCCCGAACGCCTTGCGACTTGAACATTTTGGTTCCCCAACGCTACAACCAGTTGCCGTCCAAGAAATCTCTCGGGTGCAAAGTTGGGGGAGGAAATTCTCAGGGTGAGATGGGGTGAAGTTCCTCTCACGTAGGCAGTGTTCTTACTTATGGATCGCCTGGCACCTGGTCTTACAGGATTAGACAAATTTATGGAGGAGAATAAGGCTATCAGGGACTACTAGTGTGATGGCCTGGGATTCGGACTCAGAGGCTGAACCTGAGGTATCCCAGCCTGCACAGGATTCCCCGCCTCCAAAACCAGCTGAGCCGGGGCTGGGGCCTGAGCCTGAAGGGTCCTCACCTGTGCTGGATCCTCAGGTGCAGGCACCAGCTGAGTCTGTTTTGGCTCCTGAGGTGATGGAGGACCCATTGCCTGCAGGTGCTCCACTCTCAGCCCCGTCAGGGGAAGCTGAGGTTGCCTCTGGGTCTGATAACCCTCCAGTCTCTCCTGAGCTGCAGAGGCTCAGGGCAGAGAGGTGGAGGGAACTAAGTTCCCGCAGGAGGAGTGCTTGCCTCCAGGCCAGGAGAAGCGAGTCACCTGTGGACTAGGGCCGCCCTATGCCTCAGGGCAGATAAAAGCCAGCCAGCCCCAGTCCCAAGTTGCGGGAACAATGTTGTTGGTAGCCTGTTCCTGCCTGTACCCTGTCCTGCTGGAGTGCCTGACCTCCCCCGACTCCCTGCCTTGGACCCAGCTTCAGCTTTGACGGACTGCCTCCATACTGCACCCTCAACCTCGGACTGGACTCAGACCACGCCTCACGGATAACCCACGGGACCAGCACAACTAGCCAGAATGGCTTTGGCCTTCACTGTTGGAAGCCGTGATGCTTCTGAATACCAGTTTTTTGAAATTGTGGGAGGGGAGAATGCTCTCATGCTTGGGCCCTGCTTGTGGCCTTCTTCCCACCACAGTGGCCAGTGTGAGAAGAGGGTGCTGGACTGGATGGGTATGTTCTGGACTGGATAATGTTCTTATATGATGCAGTAGTGACTACCAACTAAAGGTAAAGGGACCCCTGACTCTTAAGCCCAGTAGCAGACGACTCTGGGGTTGCGGCGCTCATCTTGCTTTACTGGCCAAGGGAGCCGGCGTACAGCTTCCGGGTCATGTGGCCAGCATGACTAACCAGAGCAGCACACGGAAACACCATTTACCTTCCCGCCAGAGTGGTACCTATTTATCTACTTACACTTTGACGTGCTTTCAAACTGCTAGGTTGGCAGGAGCTTGGACCTAACAATGGGAGCTCACCCCATCGTGGGGATTCGAACCGCCGACCTTCTTGTCGGCAATCCCTAGGCTCTGTGGATTAGACCACAGCACCACCCGCATCCCTTGACCACCAACTAGTATTAGGCAAATTCATGGAGGGTAGGCTATTGTTGGCTATGTTCTAACTCCACTGCTGGGAAGCACAAGTGGGGAGTTTGCTACTGCTTTCTCAGGTCCTGCTTGCAGACTTCCCAGAAGAGCTGTCTGCTTGGTAACCCTGAGAACAGGATCCCAAACCAAAAGGGCTGTTAGCCAAGGCTCTTCCTTCAGTCTCCTTCTCAGATGCCAAATGAAGCTCCCTGGTTCCCTTTGAACACCAGTGGCTTGGAATCACAAGTAGGGAGAGAGGGCACTGTTGAGAGCAGGTCCTTCTTTTGGACTTCTCATAATAAACTTTGAGACCAGGATGCTGATCTGGCAGGGCTCTTCGTATTGGGCCTTACCCTATTTAGAGAGGCTATTGATAACTAGAACCAATATGCCTCCAAGTACAAGATATTGAGATCAAGCACAGGACAATTCTTGTCTTCATATCCTACTTGCAGATATCTAAGTAGCCCTTATGCTGGAGTAATTGGCTCCATTTTAGTCTGACCAAGTCTGATTCTTAATTTCTTATTAGCAATGAAGTTATGATGGAACCTCCTTCTTCAGCCATAGTCTACCTCTGAATGCCAAAATCAGGGATGCCTTAAAGACTTTCTTGTGGGCTTGTCTAGACTCATGAGACTGGGGCTAAATGGACCCCACCTGACTCAGCCCCCCCAAAAGTAATCCTTAAATAGGCATAGGGTACTGCTCCTTCCTTTGCTGCTTTCATAGAATCATAAAATAATAGAATTGTAGAATTGGAAGGGACCCCAAGAGTCATCTATACCTTAGAAAGCAACCTTATTTATTTCCCGCTGCAATGTACATCTGACATAATTTTATCCCCAAAGTTTTGCATTGATTTTGCCATTTAAAAAAAGTTATGATTTTGGCATAGTCAAAAAATAACATTGATCTCTCTCTTTCTCCACCCACCCCCCTTAAATTGTCTCAAAACTGCAAGGTCCCTTAATGGCTTGCATCAAGATTTACAATATGATGGAGCAACAGCTCCGAGTAAGAGCCCCAGAATTTATACCGCTGGCTCCAACTCGGAGTGAAGGTCAGTCAGTTGAGTTGGGTTGGGTGGTAACCCACAAGGCTACTGCCTTCCGAACTGTTTCAACTAAAGTTGAAACCTGCTTGCCATCCACATCTGGAGGTGCTTTCAATGCCTTCAGGCATGAAGGAGTGCTTCCTCACTGGCACACCCACTTGCTTGCCCAGGTCAATGGTTCAGGGGGGAATCCTCACAAATGACTGTGCTCACCCGCGATTCAAAAGCTGAGCTCAGGTTGCATCTCAAGTGTTGGGACAATGTATTAGCCTCATTATGGACCTTAGAATGTTGACAGAACACAATAAGATCCCCAAAGATGGATCAGGCCAATGGCCCATCCAGTTAAGCCTGCTGTTCTCACAGTCGCCAACCAGATGTCTCAAAGAGAAACCTGCCAAGAGCCTTCTCCCCTCTGGGTCAGGCGGCAGAGGAACCAACCCCCACCGCTGGCTGCCAAGAACAGACAAGACAAGGGAAAGTTCTTACCATCTGCTTTTCTTCAATATTCACAGAGAATATGCTCAGAGGCAGTGGTGCTGCACTGAAGCAGTGAAATACAACATTTCCTGTTGCCTAGAGTGAACACACAGGGGAGTGTTGCCCCAGATAAGGAGGACTTCCTGTCATACCTTCTCTGGAGCATCCTCCCCCAGTGTGTGACCAGGAAATAGGTGTGACCCTAGCAAACGCTATAAAAGGGCTAGTCACATAGCCATTTTCCTCTTTTTGCTGCTCTTTTGCCATCTTCCTCTCTGCTGGCTCTTAGCCAGCAGCACATAGCTCATACTTACAGAGGATGGAAGCCACAAGGCAGAAAGTCCGAGGCCTAGCTCAGACTTCTTTTCTCTACAAATGTAACTGTAACCACAAGACAAAGCCTGCCTTCAGAATACAGTCATACCTTGGGTTACAGCCGCTTCAGGTTGCATTTTTCCGGGTTACAGACCGCCGAAACTCGGAAGTACCAGAACGAGTTTCTTCTGGGTTTCAGCAGCCGCGCATGCACAGAAGCGCTGAAGCGCTGAATCGCAACCTGTGCGTGTGCAGACATGGCACTGCGGGTTGCGAACGTGCATCCCGCACGGATCACGTTCGCAACCCGAGCGCCACTGTACTACTGTGAACTGAATGTAAGTAAACTTTGCTCTTACTTTTAAACGAGACTGTCGTCTTATTCTTATTTTAAGAGGAAAATGAAAGCGGAAACTTACCAGGAACAATCCAGACGGGACAAGCCAGAATGGATTGCTCAATGTAAATGATTCTAACGAATCCATCAGCATGCTTCCAGCAACCTGCAAGGAAATGTGCTCTGCTGCTTGCTCACTAGCGTGAGTGAAGAGGGATAATATTTAATCATTATGTCCTCTCCTACTTTCCTCAACATTCCCACAGAAACTGCAGAAGGGGGTGGGGCTCTTGTGCTCAGACCCTCTTAATGTGAATTCCCCCACCAGCACAACTGGTTGACCACTGGATCTTCTTACGTTCTGACGTTAACTGCCAGTCTGGCTAGCTTCTGTGCCTGGAATGGTGGTGGCAGTGAAGGTGCCATATTATCCTTTGCCTCCGGCAGAAAAATGGCTCAGCACAGTGGACCCGAGACTTAGATCTTTAGGCAAGGAAGAACAAAATTAAAAATTGCAAAAGAAAATACTTGCCCTGAGGTTTGGAATAAGGCTCAGAGGGCCAGCAGAGAACTCTCCCTCCTCCCATTGGCCATTGCAAGATGAATTTCCCCGCTAATAATCTGACATGCTTAGCAGGCAAATCGATCAACTCCTGGGATGTCGAACATCTGTGAACACAGGCTCTGCAGCAACGGACACCTTTGCAGAGGGGAAGAAATTAATTAATAGGGGCTAAGAGGGACTGTACCCCCTCCAGACCTGAGGAACATAAAAAGGTGGCTTATAGCAGATCAGACAACATGTCCCTGTAGCCTGGTGTTTATCCGCTCGGACTGGCAACTGATTATTCAAGGTCTCAGGCAGAGGCAGATCTTTGCTTTTACCTGCTATGTGACCCTTGAAATTGGAGGCGCTGGGGATTGAACCTGCGACCTTCTGCATGCAAAGCAGGGTCTACCAGGGAGTTGCAGTCCTTACCTTAAGATGTAGGAACATAGGAAGCAGCTTTGTGCCACATCAGACCACTGGTCCATCTACATACTGATTCCAGAGTTTCAGGTAGGGAAGATTCCCAGTCCTGACTGGAGATGTGCTGCAGGCAACAGAATCTGTGGAATTCAAGGCAGGGACTCTACCACTGAGTTACGGCCTGTCCCTTAAGACGTAGGGATATTGGAATTATTATTATTATTATTATTATTATTATTAATTTATACCCCGCCCATCTGGCTGAGTTTCCCCAGCCACTCTGGGCAGCTCCCAATCAAATGTTAAAAACAGTACAGCATTAAATATTAAAAACTTCCCTGAACAGGGCTGCCTTCAGATGTCTTTTAAAGATAGGATAGCTGCTTATTTCCTTCACATCTGAAGGGAGGGTGTTCCACATGGTGGGCACCACTACCGAGAAGGCCCTCTGTCTGGTTCCCTGTAACCTCACTTCTCACAGTAAGGGAACTGCCAGAAGGCCCTCGGCGCTGGATCTCAGTGTCCGGGCTGAACGATGGGAGTGGAGACGCTCCTTCAGCTATACAGGACCGAGGCCGTTTAGGGCTTTAAAGGTCAGCACGAACACTTTGAATTGTGCTCGGAAACGTACTGGGAGCCAATGCAGATCTCTCAGGACCGGTGTTATGTGGTCCCGGCGGCCAGTCCCAGGCACCAGTCTAGCTGCCGCATTCTAGATTAATTGCAGTTTCCGGGTCACCTTCAAAGGTAGCCCCAAGTAGAGCCCCAAGCAGGAGATAACTAGAGCATGCACCACTCTGGTGAGACAGTCCACGGGCAGGGAGGGTCTCAGCCTGCGTACCAGGTGGAGCTTGGAAGTTGCCTGCTCTTACAGTGGCCACCCAGATGCTCATGGGAAGCCTAAAAGCAGGACCTGAGCACAACAGTGCTCTCCCCTCTTGCAGTTTCCGGCAGCTGGTGCTCAGAAGTATCACTGCTTTTGGTAGCAGAGGTAAAACACGGTCATTAGAGTTAGTAGCCATTGATAAACTCAGTTCTCACGCACTGCAGCAAATGCTTCAGCGACATCTGAAAAGAAGAGGTTTTTCACCTTGCTGGCTATATCCAGTTTTTTATTTTCCTGCTGGATGAGGCCAGTGTCCCACCCAGCTGTCAAGGACTGGGCAGAGGAGGAATGGTAGAGACCACCACCCCATCCAGACCCTTCCAGGGAGGAGGAAGAGGGAAACAGTATCCGTTTACAACAGGGGTTTGAGGGAGGTCACAACTCAGAGGCAGATGTGGGGAAAAGTTAGGAAATTGTGGGAGAGCCAGAGCAGCTGGCTGAGACGTTGTTTAGGGAAGCTTTTAATGTTTGATGCACTATTTTAGTTTAATATTTTGTTGGAAGCCGCCCAGAGTGGCTGGGGAAACCCAGCCAGATGGGCAGGGTATAAATAATATATTATTATTATTATTATTATTATTATTATTATTATTAGACATTTCAGACTCACCATCTCACAGAACCTGGCAGGCCTTAAAAGTAGGAGAGCAAAGAGCTCGAAGACAGAGGGCGTTTAGCAGCACCCATAGAGGAGGTGATGATGACGACGACTGAGGAAGTGGGAGAGAAGGAGTGGAGATTCACTCATGACAAGAGGCTGGGTTCTATAGCCTCTCTCTGTAAAGTTTGAAATAAAAAAGGACCGTAAGAAACTTTTCCTTGTCTTTATGCTTTCCTGGGCAACCAGCCAGGAGCCACTGACATCAGTTCAGCTTTATCCAATTATATTTGACTAGAAAAAGGGGTGCTGGAACTCACTATGAACTTCTCCCTTGTTCTCTTTTACTGCGGTACCTCGGGTTACATACGCTTCAGGTTACAGACTCCGCTAACCCAGAAATAGTACCTCGGGTTAAGAACTTTGCTTCAGGATGAGAACAGAAATCGTGCTCCGGTGGCGCGGCAGCAGCAGCAGGCCCCATTAGCTAAAGTGCTGCTTCAGGTTAAGAACAGTTTCAGGTTAAGAACGGACCTCCGGAATGAATTAAGTACTTAACCCGAGGTACCAGTGTAATGGCAATGGCGCCCACCCAAGAGGTACCCGAACTGGATCCAACCAATCAGAGATCATGTGAGTGTGACAATATGTAGCAATCCAGAGTTGACTACAGGCAGTAACTGTTCTAGGCGCATCCATTATGTGCACAACAGCACACACGTGCATTGCAGCAAACTCAGAAGCGACCTGAAAAAGTCACAAAAGCATCACAAAAAGAGGTGGGGCAGGGGCGAAATAGGGTGTTTGCAGGCTTTTTCAAGTGGGCAGTGACTCAGAGCGCAATCCCCACGCAAATGGGGAGTTGCCTGTAGATGACAATGTCACAAAGCCAAGTCAGAGGCGGGGCAAAACATCTTGTCCCATTCTTCATGGGCAAGTATATTTACATACATGAACTATTGTTCAAGGGGGCAGAGCATGTGTGCAAACCATCCTCCCCCCACCCATGCGCACCCTCCTTTTGACTCAGTCCTGTGCTGTACCAATATGAGCAACCAGAACAAGCCATATGTACCAGGTAGAAAGTGTATCTTGGAAGATGCATGGATTGACAGCTCGCTCGATGAAGATGTCGACCCGGTGTGCGGTGGCCATGAAAAAGACAAATTCCATGCTAGGGATCATTAGGAAAGGATCTGAAGCTAAAACTGCACATACCAGAATGACATTATACAAATCTATGGTATGCCTGCCCTTTGGAATACAGTTCTGGTTTCATTTCAAAAAGGCACTCTGGGAAGAAACTGATTTTCTAAATATGTCCAGTTTGGGCACAGAAACTGCCATACATCTGAAATTTTCAGAAAAACCAGGCATATGGCAGCCCATATCTGAAGTGTTGATTTTTTTTGTCTATTTTTTTAAAAAAAGTTTTTACAAAAACTCTTTTTGGGAAGGAATTTTCCAAAAAGAAGCTCAACAACTTTTGTGTCCGGATTTTCACTTTTTGAAATATGGCAACCCCACTGTTGAGAGAGAGAGAGACAGGCGAAATGTGTCCTTGTTCATTCTCATCAACCTCTCAATGGTTTTTTATTCCATTGAACGCAGTATCCTTTGATTACTAGGGTGGGATCTACATACATATAAAAAACATTGTGAAAATGCTTTTTTAAAAAAAAGTTTTGAAAAATACATTGAATTTTGCATAGTTCACACTTGCCCCCTGGTGCCACATTTGTATATTGCACTTTACAACACATGTAAAGCATTTTATTTTATCATTGTTGAATGATGGAACTCGCTCCTGCAGGAACCACTGATGGCCACCAACTTGGATGGCTTTAGAAAAGGATTGGGCAAATTTGTGGACAAGGCTAGTAGCCACTGTGGCTCAGCTTGGCTTCTGCAGTCGGAACAAGCAATGCTTCCGAATACCAGTTGCTGGAAACCACAGGAGAGGAGAGCTGCTCTTCTGCTCAGATCCTGTCTGGGGGTTTTCGCTGCGAGAACAGGATGCTGGACTAGATGGGCCCTGATCCTGCAGGACTCTTGTTATGTTCTTACAGAGGCCTCTCCTTTCTCTGGCATTGCTTCCCACCTGCAGAGGCCAGGGTAGGAAGATACTGGAGCTGCCTCCAGCACTCGGCTACTAGCAGAAAGAGACATGTGTTGGCTTATGATCTGCAAGTCCTCCCTCAGCGGGAACGTTTAAATAATGTGCATAGCCGCTGCAATCAATACATTGCCATGTAATCTAATGGGTTCAATGATAGCTCGTTTTAGAACCATTGGTTAAAAATGTATTACAGTGCCGCATCAGAAGGCACACACTGATGAGTTATTAATGAACCAGGCTATGTTTATCATCACTTTGAAAAAAGAAAAAAAAAGTTGATAAAGATTCTCAACACGGATCATTTCACTTCAAGAGACACCTCCACCAACAGGCTCACACAGCTCGTCTGCGTGATACAAAGTTGTTCCTTGGCAGTTTATGCCTTTGGTTTATTTCAAGGAACATCTATTAATCAGGAGCCCAGACAGAAGGCCTGTCACTGAGAGTTTAGGTTTAACTTTAGAGGCTTTCAATATCCCCCTCCTTATAGGCATCTCAGACGCTCTTCTCTGAGTCTGAACGGGACAATATCTCTGCCTCTTGTAAATAACAGGGAGCACATTTCGTAGAACTGAAGTCAGAGGGGATCCCAAAGGCCATTTAGTCCAACCCCCTGCAACACACGAATCGCAGCTAAATAATCCCTGACAGATGGCCATCCAGCCTCTGCACAAAATCTCCAACAAAGAAGAGTCCAGCAAATTTCCAAGGAGTCCATTCCGCTGTGGAAGAAGAATTTGGATTTGATATCCCACTTTATCACTACCCTAAGGAGTCTCACAGCATCTTAAAAAGTAGAGACATCACCTTGCCAACAAAGGTCCGTATAGTAAAAGCTATGGTTTTCCCGGTAGTGATGTATGGAAGTGAGAGCTGGACCTTAAAGAAGGCTGATCACTGAAGAATTGATGCCTTTGAATTCTGGTGCTAGAGGAGACTCTTGAGAGTGCCGTGGACTGCAAGAAGATCAAACCTATCCATTCTTAAAGAAATCAGCCCTGAGTGCTCACTGGAAGAACAGATCCTGAAGCTGAGGCTCCAATACTTTGGCCACCTCATGAGAAGAGAAGACTCCCTGGAAAAGACCCTTATGTTGGGAAAGATGGAGGGCGCAAGGAGAAGGGGACGACAGAGGACAAGATGGTTGGATAGTGTTCTCGAAGCTACCAGCATGAGTTTGACCAAACTGCAGGAGGCAGTGGAAGACAGAAGTGCCTGGCGTGCTCTGGTCCATGGGGTCATGAAGAGTCGGACACGACTAAACGACTAAACAACAACAACAACAAAGGAGTCTCAAAGCAGTTAACATTCTCCTTTCCCTTCCTCCCCCACAACAAACACTATGTGAGGTGAGTGGGGCTGAGAGACTTCAGAGAAGTGTGACTAGCCCAAGGTCACCCAGCAGCTGCATGTGGAGGAGCGGGGAATCAAACCCAGTTCACCAGATTACAAGTCTACCACTCTTAACCACTACACCACGCTGGCTCTTGCCATCAGAAAGTTATTCCTAGTGTTTAGTTGGAATCTCCTCCCTTGTCATTTGAAGCCATTGTTTTGAGTCTTCGGCTAAAGCATCCACGACAG